TACTTAAAATTATAAATTGTGACTTTGGTATACCTGTATAGAGTAATACAAACTCCATTTTTGTTGTAGGTAGGGTCAAAAAGTGCACAAGGAGCCGATTCTTCACTGACTGAATGGATCCTAAGACGCCTATCAGCTGGCGGTAGCTCAACAGCTTATGAAGAAGCCATTCCCAAGTCCTTCTTAGTCAGCGCCGATCAAGTCCATGCCTGTCATCCAAACTATTCGTAAGTATTAGGTGTTAATAAATTGTTTGCGCTGTAAATTCCAGTTTGTCTTGGGTACTCATCATTTTAAAGAAAAAAATAAGGATTGAATACAGTGGTTCAATAAAACAGATGATTTTCCTACAAAATCATAATCTATCTATAATAATGCTGTTTGTAAGATATGGTTTTGTTACCTAATTTTTCTTTACCCATCAAAACAAATTCCATGATTTATATGTATAACAAAGTTGATTAAATTGTAAATGTTCATTGTTTATAATATGGACCCTGCATGTTATAATATCCACTGTGCTTTATGTGTTGTTGTATTTGATTCTTAGCATTATTGATTTGTGCATTTGTTTGTTTCCAGTGATAAACATGAAGACAACCACAAAGTCGGCCTCCACAAGGTTTGTTCATATTTAATGGCTTTATTTTCAGTGTATCAAAATAGGTCTGCGTCAATATTCAGTGCAATAGACATAAAATTATCCTCCATTTTTAAAATGATTCTCTGGGCCTCCTCTATTTCAAATTCCTTGATCTGTCAGGATATATATTATATATTAATATATATATTAATGTAAGAACAGTGCAAATTCACAGTGAATTATATTTAATTCAAACACAATAATATTATTACCATTATAGTAGTTCTATAGTACAGTATTAAGTTAATATCAATATGATATATTATCATCATTTTAGTGTACATAGTAGATTATGGTAAATCTTCTTTCTTGTTTTGTAAGATGCATAGATCCTCTTATTTACTACTTTCCTTAATTATTTGCAAAGTTTTCGAGGTGTAATCTTCTACAGGCCTCTTGTTTGTATTATATTACCATAAAAAAATATGAACTAGCAATAAACAGTTTCATTGAGAGGAATATTTTCCCTAAAAATTAAATTACGAAAAAAAAAAAAGTAATCTATGACATTGATATACTGAAATATTTTGCTTTTAGGGTCCTGCAATAAAATTCAATGCAAAT